TGGTTTAAAGATAACAAATTAGTAGTGATCTGTGACTTTTACATAAGATGTCAGTATGCATGGAAAAAATAATTAAATTCGATTAATTTTATATAAATGAAAAGGCACGTGGAAAATGGATGTACATTCAAATCTGAAACCTACCATGAAATTGATCGTCTTCGATACTTTGTAACATAAATAATTAAAACAAGTAACAAAACTCAAAAAAAAAACAGAAAATGTGCTATTCCAGACCAGTAGGTTAATACAAATTAGATTGTTAGAAAGGGGATTTTATGAAGACTCAATATAGTGTTGAGATACATCCGTGATTTGCATTGACATCATGAATCGATTAATGCTAGACCACCATTGAAAAAATGGAAACACTCAAAGGCTGTTCCATCTCAGTATGGGACTCTTCAGAATTGCACATTTACGATACCTCACTTGGGACTTCAACCAAAGACCGATCTCGCGCAAGATCTCTTAACCTCTAGACTACATTGGTGATTGTTCTAAATCACTGAATCAGCTTCCGATTATGTAAAGTTATGGTTTTCACTGCTATAGCTAGGGTTCTGGGATGAGACTTCTGACATCATAACGATTCCTGTATTAACCACGAGTCCCAAACTGTGACTTAATATTTTTGTTTGGATCTTCCCAACGATGTGTTTAGGACTGCAACTGGTCAGTCTCTAATTGGCATATGTGCATACTGTGCGTATTGCCTCGATATACCTTAATTCACAAGCATGGTAAGCAGAGATGGATAGTGGCTAGCAGTGGAATCGAGGACGCGCGTTTCGTCCTATTTGGGACTCGTCAGCTGGATGTACCTGCATCTCAGAGTTGATGTGGCCGAGTTGGATAACGCGATGGCGTTTGAAGCGAGGGTACTGGTTTCGAGTCCCAGAGTGAACATCAACTCTGAGATGCAGGTACATCCAGCTGACGAGTCCCATAATAGGACGAAACGCGCGTCCTGGATTCCACTGCTAGCCACTATCCATCTCTGCTTACCATGCTTGTGACTTAATAGTTAACCAGCTCCCCTTGGTTTCACTTAAATCAGCTTTTTATGAGAATTATCTATGAATAACATGACTCATTTGTTCATTAACTCTTTTAAAACAGTTTTTCTACTATATGCATATACTGATAATTGTAAACATAAAATATGTACATGAACTTATATGTGAGTTGATTATTTATGTTTTGTTTCATATTTTCAAAATATCGATATTATTTCAGTAAAAAATTTTTACTTCATTAACTAAACAAAGTACACCATTCATACTGTTCTTGTATACCTACGTGCACAATTTATTATTATCAATAATAATTTTTATTCTGGTTAAAATGTGAATGTTTGTATTAGCTAATTGCTCACTATTGTTATTATGATACCAAATTTTGTGTAGTTAGACAATATGACTTTTGTTCAAAGTCTTAATTAGTTATTATTATGATTATTATCAATATGACTATTGTTCCTACGATGTTTATCACTCGGTTTAAATGATAATTTAATTCATACTTTGAATGATGTAGCATATAATTGCAAAAGTCATATATATAATTCTAGTATATCTATGTTTAGATAGTAATATTATTAAACAGGTTTTATTGTTGATAATCACTTAAACAGTTGGTATATCTTAAATAATCAAATTATAAGAGTATTTTTCGAACTAACAATACTCTAAGATCAAAACTACTAAGAATTAAAGATCCAATTCACAAAGAAGAACAACAAAATTGTGTCTATGAAATCAAATATAGTGACTGTAATGCAACGTATGTATGTGAAACATCAAGACAACTGAATGTAAGGATGAAGGAACACAAACAGTGCTTGAAACACATTCCTAAGTCCTCAGATGATGTAAGGAAACTGGAGAACAAGTCTGCGATAGCATTACACTCGATAGAATCGGGTCATACAATTGATTTCCTTGGCACAAGAATCCTTCAAAAAGATTTCAATTCTTACAAAGAAAGACAAACAGCTGAAGCCCTATACATTTGGGCTAATCCAAACAATATTAATAGGAGAGATGGAATACAATTAGCAGTGCCATGGCAGCTAATCATTAATAAGTAAAAAAACCTGAACTCCTTACCATTTTCTTATCTATCTCGTATTATCTAAATAACAACAATTACATTCAATGATTCTAATCAGTTGTCTTATCGGAATTTGTTAAACAATTAACTGGAACATTAAAAATGACACACATTCGGTTTCAAATTACATTTTTCCTCTTCAAATTTCACTCTTTTATTTTTGTTTAATTATCTTCATTTTATACATGCTGTGACAGATATGATTCATATAATATATTACAAATTGTATGTTTCCTTATAAATTCACTGATAAGAGACAATATATAGTGTGAATGAAATTTCTCCTCTCACCACTTATGTTTCTATACAATGTTATATTAACACTTATCATTTCACATCACAAATCTGTTACATACTAATACATATACCCAGTCTAGACATTTTTAACGTTGATTGGATGACCGATTCAGTGTACAATGAACCCGGAGAACCATGTACCTATTTATATGCGATAATTTTGATGTTTGATTATAATTCCTTGAAAAAGCTTGGACCAGATTGCCAGGCGAAACGTTGGATTTACTACAAATTTATACTCTGAGATTTTACAAATATATTATTCCTAGTTTGTATATTTGTTTAATACGAATGTAATTTCATCAAGCATTGGTATCAGCTGAAGAACCACTAATGACCAAGTAATATCAAATATTTGCTCTATCATAGTTCTGGACTCTTCAACAGACTGCTCAATATGATATTAAGTCTAGAACTTCAGGATTGTACCTTGAGCACGTGTTTACATGGTTTAAGAACATATGCGGATATATAAAACTTTTATTAACATAACTGTGGTAAAAATAAGGAAATGATTATCTTTTTGTCAACATATACTTTTGTACAGTTTCCTTATTAATTATGTTTTTTTAAATGTATTTAAACCATTGTTGTTCAAATTCTTGGTAAATCCACTTATAAGTATCAATGTGTGAGAATGTAAGGGAATCTTCCGGATCATCTGATCAAAGGAGAGCTAAATAAGAATTGTCTTTGTTTTCCGAACTCATATTTACTAAGACTTTACAGTCTATGCTGAAACTAGCTGAGTCAAGCTTTGGAATGGACAGATCTACATAATCTAGCAATCTATAAATACTTGCATTCACAACCTTTGTTTGTCTGATCTATAAGAAATGATTTGTTGATAATCCTAATGTGTATTATTGACAAATTGTAAATCAATTGTATGAAGTGTATCTTCACGTAAATTTTATGCAATTTCTTTTACATATTTATTACTTCATACGTATTTTATTCACTTAAATGATACTAGGAAGCATATTAATGATGATTTAGACATTTAAGATGTGATGTTAGGTATGAATCTACAGTCTAGTGAGAAACCTTATGACGAAATAGTTATCATTTTTAACCACTGGAATAAGAGCACTTAAATTTGTCTCTAAAGTACAGCAATAATCCAGATACTAGCCAGGCATGTGGTAAGTACAAAATTACAAAGTGTTCTTAATTAAGATACATGGGACATTTATTGATAAAACTAACATTTACTTATACAACTATCAACATCAATACTATTAACTATTGAGATGAGTGTAATTGTGTTCGGTTTTCACCAGTGTATTGTAATCATAAATCCTTTTTCAAATATAAATTGTCATATATATATTGATTACATCGATGATAATGCCAACAACGAGAATCAGCCTAAACCACCACGCAACATCTTTAATGAAATGTTTACCAAAATTTTAATATGATATGTTATGTTTCCCTATAACATTTCCAAACTATCTCACTTCTGTGAGCTTTAACGTGTATTTCCAAATAATCTTGAGGGTCAAATGCGGTTTGTAGATCGTAGTTCATTCATCGCTATTCTTGATTCATAAATTGAATCCATATGTGTGAAACCTCTAAAGTATCTTAAAAATACTCAATACATAGAGGGGACCGCAGAGTATCCATAATAATTTATCTAGAACATTTTTATAAGCCTTGCTGCAAACAGTGAATTATTGTAAAAGATCCTGATAAGATTAATTTGAAACAGTTTATACAAAAGGACATGATGTTACTTATTAACTATCATTCATCCGATTGTTAACATTGAAGTCTTAATTCCATAGATGTAAGTGTTTAAAAGCATTCGGTTCATTTTTCCACTATATAACAATCAATTAACTTACCCTCTTTCAGTGTTCTCGTTACTGATTATTTTATAATCAAAATATGAATAACCTCAGATTCAGTGTATATTTTCTATTCACTAAAGTGTAGGTATTGGCAGTTAACATAACCTTTATATGAGAAAATAATACTAATATCTAAAACTTGCTAACTAATGACTCTATTGACAAGAACTAGTTTAATCAGATATCAACATTTTACTATATTGGTTGATAAGGTTTAAATCCCTATACTTAGGTTTTGATTCATACTACTATGTGGTTCGAATATTCTTATAAGACAATCTGTTTTGTGGTTGAACCAAACACCATAAGCCATTCTTCTTTTGAGTATTTGGATTGGTTAAAACGAAATCATCTAAAAGTTGCATTTTTCACGAATAACAATTAATTCTTTATAGATAATTGAGAAATAAGGTGCAGGAGAAATTCAGTCATATTTATTGTCTATTAGTGCTAACTGATTGGGATTTTTAAACTGATGATTGTGTTTAATTCATAGTTTCAATGTATCAGATCACTTGGTCACATCAAAAAACTACAAAATGTAGAAAAACATTTTAAACAATCTAATGTTATTACATTTTTACTGTTGTATAGTAGTACTTTTAAAGTAATAATGATTACTGTCGAAACAAACTTCTTAAAAGAATTTATTTTTTCTAAATTATTTCATAATATAATAGTAATTATTATTGCTGTTCTTTTTTCTCTCAATACTTATTTACTTTACAGAAAGAACAAAGGGTTACAGTTATTATAGTCGTAGCGTTAGTAACAATTATCACAATTTGTGTAATTTTAATTATTCTACGAACATTGAGAAAGAAATCAAATAAAAAATCCAGTGGAGTAAGTTAATTGCTTAATTTAGAAATATCTATCTTTTAACTTGAAATTTTCACTTTAAACAGTAATCTTTTATCAAAGTAATTTATTAAACAAACTAATTATTTACATTACTGTCTAGCAAGAAGTTCAAAAAATTTATTAGAAATCACTAAAATTTGGGATAGTTTAGAATTCCAGGAAGCACTCTATGGATTGATATTCAGGTTTCGAAATCTCGGTATGCAGCCAAAGACTGGCATTGCCTATAAATTGTATGGTATGTAATAACTCAGCAAATCATGATCGTCAGTGATTGTTTCATTGACAATTATTTCTGATGAAAACAATCCAACCTTAACGTATAATATTCAATAAATGACTACAATGCTATTGCGAGATGAATAGCAGAAAACGTTAACACATGTTGAGCAACGTGCTAAACACTTGAGTTTGAATTTTACGATCAATTCAAATCTACAGCACTACAAAATAGAAAATGTTTGTTCGGTTCATATGGATTTACACTTTATATCTCGATTCATGTATAATTGAAATCTGTTACTTTCCATTTTGACGTTTTTAAACGACCAAAGTTAGATAGCACACATATACGAATCAATACATGGGACCGTAAATCACCTTCCTTACAAAGTTGGCAATAGTGGATAAAATAGCTAGTCGCATGAAAATAGGGTTATGAACTGAAATTAATCGACGACGTTTTTGAAGTAAATAACCTACTTACACATATTTTCTGTTTTAGATTCCGATTAAGAACCAAAAGAAAACATCTCAATCCAATAAAATTAACAAAGTAAGTTGTATATATATATATATATATATATATATATATACATATATATATATATAGTCAGTTGTTGTTGACTACAAATATCTCTTCTATATTGCTTAAGGTATGGGTTCAAGAACCTGTTATTTAATACGGAAACTTCATTCAATCTTGTTCACTTATTTGACATCAGTGTATTAACTTGTTGAGCAACAGGAAGGAAACTCGGGACACGGTCTTCGTAACACTCTGCATTTGTCAGAAAACCTTACGTAGCATATTTGAGCCACTGTTTTAATAAGATTTAGACCCATAATGATTACCTCCAGTTTTCCACGTCACCATTAGGCTATTCAGATAGCAACTTACCTCCTGTAGGACTAAGACATCCACCATGATAGTTTACAGAGTAGCAAACAATGTCATGTTACTCTAATTACTTACAAAAATGACCCGGGTGTTAATCTCATAAGTAGCATCAGTTTAGTTTCTTGACGAGTCCCATCTAGCTCGAAGAGCAAGTCCAAGATCAGCTGCAAATTATCTCAATCCAAGCACAGTACATGTTTTATTTCACTCAGATCAATTGCCGAACTGCAACATGATTAATAGAATTCGATTAAGTGTAAAGGAAATGACGTTATTCACTACTCACTAACCAGTCTGTGTAAGCACATAAATCTTGGGAGTTTTAATGTAGATAAACTATCGGCTAAGTTTATCTACGAGATTTAATTGCCACTTCTACTCACTAAAGCCATGAAAAAACTGGTCGTCCCATGAAGTTACAATCTGTGCATATTCTTCTAAAACCATGATAAGGTTACTTAACCGCGTACCGACAACAAGTCCATACTTTGAGTAAATATAGGACAGGAGAGAATACGCGAAAGACCGATTGAACTGCACAGACAACACAGGAATCAACAAGTACGACTGTTCACTCGGTACCTTATACTTCACCAACACGAAGAAACATCAGATTACAAGTAACCTTTAATTACAACAATTTACATACATCCCTACACAATACAAAATTACTTTGTTCAATTGGTAAAAAAATAAGACCCTTTTAGATTACGTATCCGTTTGAGTTGGTATCCAAAAGTATAAGATGGAGTTTAAATCATGTGACCTTATCTTCGACGTTAAGGCAACTAATAAGATATACTAGATGACTCATGATAGATGTACATGTAGCATGTTTCGCGGAGATTAGCAACACAATTTTGTTAAACGAAATGTTGCAAATCAAGATTAATGGAAGTTAAACTTTTTTCTCAACATTGTAGGTAGAAGAGAGAGAAAATTATTCGTGTATACTCAATGATAACTTCAGCGAACCTAAGTGGATTATGCAGCAACAATCAACAGTAGGCCGTACATCTGATAGGATTAGGAAAGTCCCGACAAGTAAGTTTAAGCGTAACTCATAAAGAACATTGGTATCTTTTTTTCCGATAGGAAACCCCGAAAATAAGAAATGGTACGACTCAGCAGCAATTCCTTTCATGGATGACGTCCATTCATCGATGGACAACCTGCACACAGATCAACGTAAGAATCAACAAATATGATTAGATGTACATAGTTTCAGTGTGTAAAGATAATTATTAATAACTTAATTTGTGCTACTTGAATCTTCTTTTATTGAGATCAATGATCAAACGTTTTTGTAAGATAAGTTATTCGCATGAGAAACCAAAATTTGATGTGTGTATTTTATTCCAAGAAAAAGAAATATATTGTTACTGCTTATCGAGAAATAACAAATGTCTGTATTTTTGGAAGAATATCATCAATGAAACAGTCGGTTACACAAACTTGGATGTCTAACGAACAACGATCTTCATACAGAGAAATGTAAACTTAGCTAAATGCCGTAAGATAATAAACAAGAGAAATTATTATACACAAACTTTAAAGAAGTCGTTTTAAAACTAGTCGATATGATTTTTCTCTTTAAATTCATTCATGTTTGATTCATTGACTTGATGATCTGAAATGAACGTCCGCAAATCCTCTATGCATCGTTGGCCTCTTTCATGTAAGATTTCTTTGAGCATCGGCATAAGACGGCTTTCGAGATCTTGATCTTTGCTGAAACAAATATAAATAGTAAATATTAACACCTTTTCGGATGGGAGGAATAATCTATATTTAAAGTACAACCAGTTTTCTGGTAAACAAGTTAATTTCAAACATCTAACAATCTTACCATTATAACAGGTCACTAGAAAAGGAAAAATTCTGAATTCGTTATAAACAAAACAAGTTAATTGACTTGCAAAGAGTCGTGTATCAGGCTGGATGAGAAAATATATGGCCATAGTATGAATGTCATCGTCGGAACAATGAGAAACTCAAATGATAAAAATGATGGGAACTCGAAAAACAACGACTAGAGTTTGAATACTAAAAACTAAGAGATATTCAATCATATAATGTTTCACATACAATATAAGTTAGTACTACCCTAAAATATGAGACCCACAAGTAGAAAAGCAGAAACATAGGAACTGAGACAGGCATATTGGTTAAAGATGCTACAAATCACATCTTGTCTCAACATAACATAGAAGGAAATCAACAAGAGGGAAAGCAAAGAATTCGAAGAAATAATAACTAGTAGTAAACTGAGAAAAGTGAAAGAGTCCAAAGAATAAGAGGACTTGTGTTGTAATATTACGATCAAGTTTTAAATGGGGATAGAAAGTAAAAGTGAATGGGTAACTGCAACCAATCACGAAGTCTGAATTTCCTAGCAAAGTTTGGATTAGTAGCCAGTAATTCAACACGAACACAACTTTTTAGTACCATTTTTTTAACCCACTTCTCTTACGTCAGTTAGCATAGCGAAACAGGGTGAGAGACGGTTGACCAAACGTAACCACCCATTTAATCTAGCATCCACAAAGTTATTAAGTGTTTGATCACTTTTATGCAGTACTCTACACCTAAAATTCCATAACAGGCTACCAATGCTGACTACACTGATAAAATAATTTTAAGCACGTCTTCCAGGTTTACAAGCCATGACTCACATCAGTAAGTTCATGCAGAACAGAGCGCTGAACAATGTACTCGATCTTTGTCCGGATGTACACAAATGTGTGCACTAAATATTGGGCTTAACATTGTTCGACATCACTTAGCTGAGTATATGACAGACAATACTGGTAGGAAATATCTTCGTTTATAATAGGTCACACCTACCACAGGGGTGGTTGGTGTTAGTAACTTTGATGAGCGTAACATAAAATACCATAGGTAGATTTAAAAATACGAATTGTAATCCCCAGGAATTCGGATTTGTCAAATTGTGGTTACGAGTTTAAAAAAATATAAGTGAATCGTCTTTGCAAAGGGTGATTGAGCATTGGAATTCATTAAAATAGACTCAGCAATTAGTGCAGAAACTTTTCATTTACCAAGTGCAACAAGTATAGCCTCATGTTAATTAGCGATATACAGGCGTAGGAAGAGACAGCTACTGCGCAATGTAAGGAAAAATAAAAAAAGAATCTAGCCACTTACTTTTGTAGAAAACAGTAGTTTTACACATTGACATTAGAATAAAATGATTAATGCATAAAGTAGACAATGGATGGCGACAATTCAATAATTGCAGCATCAGAACGAGCAACACGAATAACGTGAAAATCATCAGCCAATCGAGGTAAAATATACATTATTGCCAGGTTCGATAAAACACGAACGAGGATGAAAGTAAGCACCCAATCAACAATTGTCTGACCAATCAAAACATTCTACAAAAGAACAAACGCCAACTGGAATTGTAGGCGTAGTTGAGTGTATATTTAAATTACACAACCAGCATATGGCCCGTTAACAGGTAGGCACCGTACGAGTCTCAGACATATTGGCTGGCATCTAACGTAATTATTCATATTAATATCCATTATTTATAAATCAATTCACTGTTCCATACTCTGAGGGTAAGAAATCAGCCCTTATCCGTAGGCAGAGAATATTGCCATGTAATGCTAAAATTGCCAAAGCACAGATTTATATTAGATTTAAGTGTAAGAGGAAGGATACATTACGGACGCAAATAAAAATTACCTTATTAGCATGCGGACGACTGTAGTGAATGCCTCGCAATCCCGTTTATAATCCTTTTAATGTATTAAAGCGTTAAAAATAAATAGTTACCTCTGCCAGCGCATCTTTACGATCACGAATCAGATTCATTACATCATCTGAACAATCACCTGACTCATTTTCTTCATTATTGACGGATGATGCAGAGCCGACGGTAACTGACTGATTGTTATCTAGAATTCGAAAGCAATACATGGCACATTAACAGTCAATCAATAATCTGGTAAATAACACTAATTCGTCTCGAGCGTTAGTATCAAGTCTACTTAAAAGAGACCGACCACCCACAATAAGATAAAGCACCAAACTTATCGAATGTATACCACCAATGATAACTAGTTTGATAATGGAACTAACTTAATGGTGAAAACATTCGACCTCTAATCACTATTTCACAGGTTTTAACCAACTTATTTACTTCATTTAGGTAGTCATTTAGTACAACCAATTCCTACATTAAGTGTAGTTTGAAATTGTAACTGGTAAATAAGCTCATTAGATCATAGGTTTCGATGTTATTTGTGACGCTTAAAAGAAAATTTACCGATTAGATGTGCATTTTATCTTGAGGAAAAAAAGTAGGACATGAAAATCAGATTGTCATACGATGATTGATAAAATATTATAGGGAAAATGCCTTGGAACTACAGCATTTGATACGACAGGAGATACTATTACATATTTATGTGCATTTTTATCTAGTCAATTTATAATGGATGTGGTTCTTTGGAATAATCTTTTATTGTGTAATATACAGCACTTTCATGGAACTGGGGAGTTTTGTGCATGCGCATACACACATGTTACTTAGGTGCTTAATGGACTGAAACGAAACGAAAACTGATGCAAACACGCACTGAATATTAAACTTAGCATTTTTTTGTACGACAGGGAAATTGTTGAGTGTGGCTTGTATCTTGCTGAAATTAGTCAAAGCAAGTCATTTTGTTGTCTAATACACCGATGAATTTTATTGTGATATTATGGGGAACGAATTGTGACTACGAGTCAGATGTTAATCACAAACAACGCAACCTAAAAACGAGAGTTTAGTTCGTTTAAGAGCAGAATATGCAACCATTTTACACTGAACAAAACTTATCGGCAGTGTGCAAACATACAATAGCTAACTTTCGAATTTCTACTGGTTGACTTACATAAGTAGACAGAAAATCTGAAGGTCTACTGTGTCTATAAAACCTACCGAATGAATATTTCAACGAAAATTGCCATACAAATTGCATGTTATATAATGTACGATTGAGTGCAGTACAAAATAAAGTACTGATAATAAGCTGCATATGCATTGATTTTCCTCTTAGTATAGATGAATCTAGCTTGATTTATAAACAAATAAAATTTATTTAATCAGACATCAGGACCAAAGTATCCGTTCATAAATCATTATATGAGGTATCGGATCCACTATAGTTTATTTATTTGGTTAAATGCACTGACCAATAACAGAGGTTTTAATATATTCTTGTTAATTTCCAACTGATTAATATATTTGATTGCAGAAATTTGAAAGTGGTTGGAATTTTGTCCTGCTGATTCTCATAAATGCTATTGTTCAAGTGAAACGATTAAAATACTAATGTTTTTAAAGTTAAACAAAAAACAAAGACCAAAAGTAATAAATGCTTTGCATCATTCCTGACAAAATATAGTCTAATTTGGAATAAAATCGAACTGAGTGAATATTAGTGGACGATTCGTATATTTGTTACAACCTACATCTTAATCACGTGAAAACTGGTTCCTATCTTCGTAGCTAACTAGGCAAATACATATTTGCAGAACAGGTTGTCATCTGTACACTAGTTTGCAAAGAAAATCGTAGGTGAAAAAGGTATTGAGCCCATATTTCGTAAAATTAAATACTAATTAGATATACCAATTGGTTAAGCACTATCGATATTAAATGACATCGAAAGCATAAAATATTGTCCTATGATCATGTAATTACAAACTATGGTATAGATACGCCGTGGATAGTGTGTTATAATAGCACATTAAGTAGCTGAACAAATGATGCGTAGGAGCCTTTTGTTTAACTTTGAAATAAATTAATTCTCGGAGAATTCTATGCATTAACAATAGATTTCATGGTTTTGGTAATCAGGGTAGTTTGACGAGATTTTTAAAGTCAATAGTTACTACTAAATTGATGACACGTTGTTTGTCCGAGCAGAATCAAAATACCCTGTTTTTAAGTAGTGAAGATATTTTCCATCTGCTTATGTAGTCGATTATCATTAAAAAAACACTTCCTTAGGAAACTTCCGTCCGATTAACTGGAAAAACTTAATTATTGTTGTCAATCAAATAATCAAGTAAAGATGTAGGTATGTAATCGCATATTTCTTTGGGACACACGAATCAAACTGTTTTACGTTTCCTGCCTGAGATAAAATACTTATAACTTGGAGTGAGGTTGTAAGTTTCTCCTTTTAGGAAGTGATATCAGCCTTTGTTCTAATAAATTATCGTAAACAGAAAGGAAACCTGATTTGGGGAAATCTCGGGTTTTATACAAAATGAATTAATCTTACGATGAAAAGCATAGTCAGATGTCTACAGAACATAATATTTTGTATTCCAATAAAAAACTCAGTAGTTAACTGCGACCCTTCAACTACAATCACAAGTGTTAGGAAAACACACAACACGATATCAGCACAACTTACTGTTTGAGGATGAACTGGACTTTTTAAATAACGGTTTCAGAGATTCCTTTGCTGTTACATTGTTATTTCTTGAAATGGTCACTTGATTACCATCAACTTTCGAAGTATCAGAGTGATCATTGTCGCTAGAATTATTTGCAGATGAAATGGCAGACTTTTTCTTTAGCTTAGCCGATTTGCTGATACTTGAGGGCCATTTTTCCTCTTTATGGAGATGGTCATCGTTGACTTCATCTTCTGGAGTTCGCCAACGTTTGGTTGCACGTGATGTTAAAGAGAGTGGAGAACGTGCAGTATCCGAGCGTCGAGAATTATGACTATTCTTCGAAGTACTTTTTTCAATCGTTGGGGGAGAGTCTTTAGTTGTAGATTTTTTATTTGCTTTGACAGCACTTGGTCTTTGTTTCCGATCAGCATTTACTTGACGTATTGTTGTTGAGTTTTCGGCTCTCGATGTTTTTTGAAGACTGGTTCGTTGAGTTTTACTCCGAGTATGGGGTGGTTCAGAGAGAGATTCTGTGCTGCTAATGAATTTGTTTAAAAACACGTTATAAAAGATCCGCGCAAATAAAACATAGTTAAGCCAAGGTATAGTACAATAAAGTAATCGACAACGGTTCATATCATACCAAGTATATCGTCGGAGTATACCAGCTGTTTTTCCTAGAGATGGTTTTACTGACGGCTGATTTTCATCCCCTGGTTCATCAACCACCAATTATCGCTGATGCTTTTACCATCTCTTTTACTTCTGTTGCCCACATCGTTTCACGGCCATTGCATAAACCTAGTGTTAGACTACATTTCTTTTTATCGTTTCCTAAACCTGCCAGGATTTCTCCAAATGGTAAAATATACTGGTATTTCCAAAACTTTCAACTAAAGTTGCAGACACTTTTGTATCAATCTGTTAGGATATCATGTCAAACATCAGAGATGAAGTCTCTTTTTCAAACATATTCTTAACGTTCTCGTACTTCAATTACGAGCTAAGGTGTTTTTACTTTTATGTTGAAGCAAGTGGAAACATGTGCTTTTAGTAAAGCATTATCAGAGTCCAAACATGTACTTCCGTAGGACGGGAAGTCAAACCTTTCCAACGATAGCTTATTTCTGATGACACCCTATGGGTAGGCAATTATAAACTCAACTATCAGTCCATCCCAACCTTGTATGAAAATGTTTTACCTAAAAGTATTTGCTTAAAATTGATTTGATAAGTTATTTCAAAATCTTTAGAAAAGTACCGATTAAACCCCTTAAAACTTATCTCTATCAGTGATCATCACAGTTTATCCAAAGACAGTAAACTACCATAAGTTTACAGATGATTTAGTCAGAAAATTTGAGAAAAGAGTCACGACAATTGGGGCACAAAATCTGATATGAATGTAATAAGTTGAGGGAGATCTAGAAAAGCATTTAGAATAAATGTACATTAAAATATGACACTGATGTAAGACTTAATTGAATTTAATTACTTGTTGGCTGGTGAATGGGCATTCCTAGTTTTTCTACGTTTTTGAGATTCAACTGCAGGTTGGTCTTTTTCATCGCTATTTGAAGCGGCTTCAGCCTTGGCCTTGGAAGTACGATTACGAACGTCATTATAGGGCGGTGAAATCGAATGCACCCGTTTGCGTCCACTGCGATTTCTCGGAGAATCAAAAGCACCATTGGAACTAGCGACCGAGGCACCTGAGGATGAATTTTCTGAAGAATGTCGTGTTCTTCTGGAAAAACTGCCATCTCGGACAGATGCCTGTTCAAAACCCTGTCGAACATGGCGTCTTAGTTGTATTAATCCACTTACCAATGAAGATCCATCTTCCGGGTTGGGAGCGGGAGCATTTGAGTAGGCAAGGTTTCGTTCGCTTACTGAGGGTGACCCTAGAGAATGCGAGAAAAATTATTTAACGTACGGTGAGTGGTCTCAAACTACGAAACAAAAAACATTGTTCAAAACGAACAAAAATTGGAAAACTGAGGGCATTTGCTGAACGTTAACCTGAAAACACCAAAGAAAACTTGCTTGAAACTCGCTGGTTTCTTCGCGTTTGATAGTCTGGAGACGAGTTTTCATCTGCGCTTTGATCATATTGTTCATTATTTCTATTTGACGAGCGACGTTTAGATGAACCTTGACGCTTTCGCCCCCCTGAAGATCGACTACTGCTACTACTTCCATCATGAGAACGGCGAGAGAGATTGCGAGAGGAACGTCGATCGTCGTAAGCGTGACCATTGAATTCAGATTCACTTGCATGCATTGAATCACCCGGATTTGAAGGCAAAGAATGCCTGGAAGCAAAACATTCTTATCAGTAAAATCTTGGGATACATAGTAACGTAATCACTAAAGCTTTTATATTACTCAAAATTCATTAATCTACTAAGTCGTACAGCAGTACTCCCAGAATGAATTGTCGAAACATTTTACGGTCGTGCCATGAATTGACAATTTTCTTTCTCCCAGGCGGACTAGCTATAACATAGATCTGTAAGTTACCTGAATAACTCATTTAGTGAAACTAATTAGTTTTTACATTTAGTTTCTACATGAGGTTCACTAAAATAAGTATGCTTGAGAATATTTGACATAGTATTTAAGGGATATAAATAGCTTATCGATGCCGAGTATTGGTAGGAGTGACGCGTAAGCTTTTGCACGAAGTATCTCTGGTGAGCCAAAGAATTACCATTTGCGAAAACTGCCTATGTAAACATGCTGACACCAAGAGCTATTTTTCACAATAGCGAAGTATATTTCTGTATACGATTTTTAGTGAACTTAGGTTTTGTGTGCTAACACGACGTCAGTATGTTACTAAACCATCATCATCATGTTTTGCTGACAACCTTGTCGACAGAATCTAATACCACAAGTCAATGGCACAAACAATTCAACTGGTTTACTGTCGAGGTAAAGGGCATCAGACTTTGTGCAGTTAAGGGTACGAGCATTGCTCGTATATCCTGGGACCACCGAGTAAGTAATGCAGATGTTAGGAAACGGGTACTGGTTCAGTCAGTCAGTCAGTTACAACGTAGAACTTCGTACGTACGTACATCAGTTCGAGTTGCCATACCACATTAGCACAGAGATAAAGTTGTCGATTCAAATCCTATATTGGTAGAAGTAGTAAGAGTACAAGCATTAATGTGAAAGATTAGGGTTTGAAGATGTTATTCAAGGAGTATAATACAATGAAATAAATTTGGAAAGAGAAAAAGGATACGGACATGAAGAATTCAGATTAGAATTTGGTAGAACACAAAGAATGGATGCACCTTCGCCATTGCAAACGATTTTGAGCCATGTCATTCAAGGTCTCTAACCATCGGTTGCTATCATCTCGCGAACCCCAACCAGGTTGTCTACACCTACCCGACCGTTGCTGCTACCTTGACGTGGTGGTCGGGCTTGCCTATAGTGATGAAGCAATTGAGCTATGCTGGCTGGAACAATCGTTCCTTGAGGTCCTACCATGCCAGACAGGTCGGTAAGATTGAAAGCAGCAATCCCAAGGTCCGAAGGCGAAGTCGTACTGCCGACTGTACAGAGGTATGACGGCAGTAAGGTGTTTCTTTCAGACAACCAGCATGACAGCGATGCTGCCTTCCCACATGGAGGGGTGGGGTTAGAAAAAGTCGACCCTAAAAATACACACCTTGCATTATCCCACGGATTTCCGCCTTCGGCGGTAAGGTCCTTTGAGTAACGGAGCTAACACTTCAAAAATCCCCCACAAAAAGACCGTGCGTGACCGGCCTCAAGCAGTTGTCCCTTGTGCACTGCGGTCACGCTCCCAGGTTGTTCAGATCAACACTAATCCAACTTCTTTTTCAGGTCCCTCAAGAAATATCCTTCCACGATGTGGGCAGCCGGGAAGTGATAAATGCCCTTATACCCGTAACAGCACACGGGTACTGGTTAATGATGGCAAATCGATTGATGAAGTAATGAAACTTCATCAGTTGAGATGGCTGGTACACGTGTTACGTATACACAACCACCGGCTACCCAGACGTGCAATGTTCCATGGTGTAGGAGTAGATTGGAAAAAAACTTTGGGCGGCCAGACCACAACGTGGCACAAATCCATGAAGTCACTAACAAGTGGACTTAGCCATGTTGGTAGGTGTAGACTACCTGGTTGGGATTCGCGAGATGATAGCAACCGATGGTTAGAGACCTTGAATGACATGGCTCAAAATCGTTTGCAATGGCGAAGGTGCATACACTCTTCGTGTTCTACCAAATTATAATCTTCTGAATTCTTCATGTCCGTATCCTTCTTCTCTTTCCAAATTTACTTCACTGGATTATACTCCTTGAATAACATCTTCAAACCCTGAGCTTTCACATAATGCTTATACTCTTACTACTTCTACCAATATAAAATTTGAATCGACAACTTTATCTCTGTGCTAATGTGGTATGGCAACTCGAACTGATGTACGTACGTACGAAGTTCTACGTTGTGACTGACTGACTGTATCAGACTTTATTACAACATGAATCAACCCATGACTTTCCTCGAGCTACTACTGGATTTTCCAACACACATTCAGCACCTGCAACTCTAAATACTTCGAGACCACTGCTAACAAATTCGATCAATAAAGTTTAAGTAAATTTTTTTACAACATAGTGATTTGTAAACAGATATACTGTTTGTACCGTACTTACGAAAATAACTTAAATAAACGTCACTCAAAGCATACTGCTAGTTACTGAAATCAGAAGACATCCAGGTCTCCCGATGCAAATTACATACACGACTAGTACCACATGAAGTTGAAGTGTGTACGACAAATAAGCGAGATAAGTTACCTTGTACGAGATACTGATCTTGACCGAGATCTGCCTGAATTACTAGCGCTCCTTGACGATGACCCTGTGAATGATCGACTTCTTGATACACTTCTTCGTTCCGTGCTTCTTCTATCTGTGCTGCGTTCCGTGCTCCTTCTATCTGTACTTCTACGATCCATGCTTCTGCGGTCTAAGCTCCTACGATCTATGCTTCTACGGTCCCTGCCATTATCTCTATACCCTCGACCGCCTGAAGAGGAAGAGCCCGTCCGGATCCGTCTAGCATCACCATAGTTTCCAGGGGATGGGATACTCTTTTCTGGGCCTCGGAAACCCCGCTGGTTTGGAGGAAAACGTCTAACCTGACGCCGCTCTTCGTACACTGGAAAAGCAACTTCGGATGAATTTTGCAAATTACTCTTTGCTCTAGCTTTTTTGAGGTCCTTGAACCAAGTTAGCTCTACAGGGTAACCAAACATTGTTTTGCCGTTGTGTCTGAAAATTAGATGAATGTAAAGCTTACCGACGAAGCATTTCGCTGGCGATCTCGTGGGACTTGAATCGTATGGCGACTGAGAATCTTTTTTTATCTTCTGAAGTAGAAAAAAACTCCACAGAGCACCTGGAATTTGTTTCATTACAGAAAAAGTCCCTGGACATTATATAGGAAAGAAGTGTCTTACTTCACTTTAGTTACGTCTGTCGTCCCTGGAAGCCCTCGAATAAATAGGGTGTGTCGACTAGGGAGGACATTACGAGGATTGAGCCTATCAAACTGCGGTCTACGATACATTCTTTACAACTTTAATCAGCGGCCAGTTATGCCGGAACGCATTAAAACAAACTCAGGGGATAGTCTTTAAAAACACCAAACTTGGCGAAGCGAAATTTCGAACCTTAAAGCTCTTCTGAGTGGAGTAAAAGAATACTTCCTCGTGTTTTGTGTAGGTGCTCCTTCCATATTTGTTGGTGAAGCTTATTGGCTTATCTGGACGTTGAGTGATGATATGCGCTTCCTTACTTTACATCCAGTGGCTGCACACAACTTGTGAACCAAATAGAGATGATCATTTTTGCAAAGTTTTCCCATTGTTATTTTTTTAAAGGTTATCAGACTCTTCTGTTTGCTTATATTCTATCTTTTCCTGTTCGAATACATTTATTTTTTGTGGATGGTATGTTATGTGCCCCATTAGCTATAATTGTGCTTCTTTAGAACAATCTTTTAATGTGTATACACACATATTTGTTTTTATGATCGCTATTTCTTCATTCTTACGATCATTTCTGAAGAGACGACGCAGCAAACATTCGATTACAGCTTTCATTTAGACATTTGATAATCGGCTATCGTTTTACAACTATGATGGGATTACAATTATCAAAATTATCTATTATTATTGTTTGTGATTTCCAACCAGTCGTTAGCTGGTTGCTCGTTGAGTGCTTGTATGTCTGCTTGTAGTTGCCTGACCCAACTCTTCTCATGAGCTTTTCGTATTTGAAGCTCGATTTCTATAGCGTCACCAATCGTTCTCCCTATGATGGTATTCTTTCCTTGGTCAGCTGTGCGCCATACGTCCAGTCTATTTTCTTTGATTTTCCCAAATAAGTTTGGTCGGTTAATGTAGTCTTTTAATTCACCTATTTTTTTGAAGGAGACTACAATTCATGGAGAAAACGATCAGATTGAAGGTAACAGATTTTGGATTTCGTGGCGAAATCAATTCATTCATTCGACTGAATAGAAATCAAGTGCTATAGCTGATATAAGTTCGTGATGAAAAACGCTAATGCAACTGTAAATCCGAATCCCTCACATCAATTTATAACCCCAGTTTAACCCTAGTACGAAGGTGGACATTCTAAAGATCACTTTAGGGTCACTCAAAGGTCGTCCATCAATTGTAGCCTTTTTCTGCTGTTGGGTACCCCTCGTGACATCGATAGACGAAAACAGACTAGTGGTGAATAGGTCTTTATTTTGACCGTTCAACTGAACAGTTGGAGTACAAGGTTGCCTTTTTTATACGAAACGTCTTTCAACACTCAGTATATAGTGCCTATTGTTTGCTTATTGTTTATTTATTCGACCACACAGTATCCCAGAATATATTTGACCAATCGTGTCTGCTAGGAAAATACTTGTGAAGTAGTTTGGGTTCATTTTATTCCCTTTACTTTTACATAGACTTATGAAATCTCCATCAACCCAGCACTGTAGTAGGGTGCCTTGGCTTTTCGAGAGTTCATTCATTTTATGTAGAAGTATCTCATTGAATATATTTCTCACTCTTTATACCATTTTAGCAGTTACACCATTGTTTCACAGAGCGTTGTTATTCCTCATTTTCTATGGAAAAAAGCTTAGACCAGATTGCCAGGTGAAACGTTGGATTTACTTCAAATTCATTCACTGAGATTTTACAAATATATTATCCCTATTTAATGCCTTACATCAACTCGTCGCCCAAATACTGTGAAACTATTTGCTCTAATTTAGACGAAAGTTCTTATATATTCTACGGACTTTGTTCCAGACCACTCAATGTGGGGGGGAATGCCGTTTAAACTCGTTGTACTGTTGTATTGTATATCAGTTTATCTTTTTAAATAATTCCTAATAACAATTTCTTAATTTCTCTCCACCGATCACTTGATGTACTCTTTCCTTACAAACTCATAGCTTCCATTTCTGACAGTCGTTAGAGTAATGTATAGTTCCTTAAGTGCGCCATGCTCCTTGTGTTGTTTGAAAAATATTTTGAGGTCTCAAAATTTATGATCCATGTATTCACCTTTTACCATCCTTATCCTTTAGGTGGCCTCATATTTTATCTAAACTTAGTTTTGGCGTTTGTCTTCGCTGAGGTCATCCAGCCACTTTTCCTTTAATGGTTTTTCTCTTTTATTTCCTCTTTCGGCTGTTGGGCAATAATTATCTGATACTCTACTTAGCGGTTTGTTTGCCTTCTGTGAGTTCTCCTTTGTCGTTTAGTGATCCACTGCCTTGTATGTGGTAAGCTGAATTCATCTTTTATAAACATCGCTATGGCATGCTCAGATTATGACTTTTTCCGAAGAATTTATGCACATGTTCGACGTCAGTTTGATCTTGTACGCAACTTTAGACTTCTCTTTTGATTTCGGCGTTTCGTTCTCATTTTTCGCGATTACACTTACAAGGTAGTGATACGAATTCGTTTAAGATATGATTGTATATACATCGCAGATAAGACAGATGGCTTGATTCTTCCTGACTTTTTATTTCAACTGAAGACTGATGACCTTCACTTATACAAAAGGTATATCGTTGACGCTTTTATTATGTCATGAAAACAGTGAACTCAATGTCATTCTGGATATGTTCAGTAGATGCTATTAATTAATCATTAATCAAACCCAAAATCCCACTCCCTCAATGTCTTGTTGAACAGAAGACAAGATGGTGCGCCACGACCAGTTTGGGATGGACAATATGCCATATATTGCAACTGGTTTCCTTTGGGCGAAAAGTGAAGGTTCATTTAATCTTTATGGCCAACGTCTAGAAAAACACACGGAAGAAACGATAGCCAAAGAATTACTCGAACTCTGACAGATGTTTCTCAAAAACTGCTAAATATCCAAGTATTCTGAGAAAAAAAAGGAAGTACGTTGAAAATATTTAGAAGAAAATCGAAGTTAGAGAAGACGAAGATGAGTGAATCAGATCCACGAAAACAAAGGACATTAAAGGTGATAAAATTGTAATCTTTTTTATGACTTTCACTAGAAAGGATGCATATAATACTCAAAAGAATCTGGTTTTCCCAGAGAAATCAATTCCACTGTCGTGGAAAACTATCAGGGAACTACCATTTAGTCATGTGCAGTGTACTATCTTTGAATACAGAGAGGGAGAGAAAGGTAAAAATTTCACAAGATTGTACGAAAGAGAAAGAGAGAATTTATACCTGAACCACAGAAACAGGCCACGGAATGAAATTTCGGAGACCAGTTGTAAACTGTTGATTGTTAGGATAAATATTCTGCATTCCGAAATAGAATTAAGTCGAAAACCCAGGACTCCATTCCAAGAAACTGACACAGTATGCATTGACTATGAAGCAATGGACAAATACAATTTCCAGTCAGTGAAAATTCTCGATACTTTGCTCAGTCGTCGTGATGAATCACATTCTCAAGGTCACCCCAAGCTCTCATTCGGTCAATGCTGTTTCCCATCCCCGTAGAAATATGGGTAATGATTCGACAAGGGGTTGCAAAGCAGTTCATAGAGTTAGGCACAAGTTTGGTAGATGTTTACCATGTGGTAAACGTTATTCATGTAATCCATGTACACTTCGTCATACTATATGTTTCATGTGTGGCTAGGTCAAACGCACCAACTCGGTGTGTAGAACTATTGCTCATTTCTTCACCAGTGATAAACCCTGTAATTAGGGTCTTCTTAAGCTTGGTGATCTTAATAATCACATGGTATCTTTATTCGCAACTTCGGCTTGCAATTGCATGCTTTGTGAACAGGGCAGCAGGATTTTTCCTCTTCGAGTGGATCTTATAGTTTCGACTGTGTCCCAAGGTGCAAAGGCTTCTATATTTATATACGTTGGATTTTCAGCTTCAGTAACACAGTAGTCGCAGCCTTCTGTGTTGAGTGTTCATCACTTTAAGAGCCTTGAAAGCACATTATAGAAGTCTGATTTTGTTTTCTCGCGTTTTACGATATTTTTGTGTTGCTCTCTCTGTGAGTTCACCGCACAGTTTTAATGGCATAAAAAAGGCCGTTGTTGTAAATCCACACGCTTCCTTTACTCAAGGAGGGTATGAAACGTGACAACTGTAACACGTGGTATCACAACGTGTGCACCGGACGCACACCAGCTCTATATTAAAGGTGTTACAAGCCATTATCACGTTGTATATATGAAACATGCCTACAGTATCTGGGGATTCTTGAGGTGATTAACCTGATAAATTTGTCTGAGAAGATCTCTCTTCATGAACATACAGCTCAAAGAAGATACTGCCGTGGAAATTCTGAAGAATCGTCTGACAAAATCCTTGAGGGAGACCTTCCATGACATCGTCTTTTCCAGCTGCAGAAGGTCGCACTAGCCGCACAAAGAGAGCGCTATCCAAACGGATCCCCAAACGTTGTTTCGCGTGGCTTCCGGAAGGTGATATTTCACCAAATTTCATTTTCATGGTGGTGGCCCTTCTGCTTACTTCATTGTATCTCGACACTTTTATCCCTTCACTTTAATTTTTTACCACGAAACCAATTTCCATATTTTTACTTCCATATACGACAGGATTAATACTGCAGTATATTATTCCAATTCCTATCTCTGTTACGATGGAATTTTATCTCGTTACAGTCAATACAGTTGGGCGGTATTTTCTCTTTGCCAACTAATCAATTATATGGCTCATATCTCTGTCCTGCTCACAACCACGGAGGTTTTACAGGCCAAATTTTGAGTTGTGAGAATTTCGGGTTTTATAGTTTTTCTCTGTTGTTTAGAGCCAATAGGCAGTCTATAGAGATGCCTTCCTCAAACCTCAGTTCGGTTTACCAGCTCCATTTTAAGTAGTTATGTATATCGTCCTTGGGCCTTTGTAATCGATTGGTTTTTTAGGGTAGTAGATTGGCATGATTCCCATCTAGCCTTGTTGGTTCATGAGAATAGGCCCTGTTATCCAGGAGGCACAACGTGGAAGTGAGAGTAGACTTCACCTCTGTGAAGGTAGGTTTCATAGTTACTAAATAGGACGACAAGCAACCAAATGCCTCTACATCGATATAAGGGACCCGAGAGAGAAATATAAGAGACCAGAAGCATGTGTTCTAGTTGAAGAAAACTATGGTTCTAATTGGA